AATCCGGGCTTTTTTTTGAAGGAATCTCTCTCTCTCTTTTTTTTTTTTTTTCTTTTTTTGAGATAGTCTCACTCTGTCCCCCAGGCTGGAGTGCAGTGGCGTGATCTTGGCTAACTGCAACCTCTGCCTCCCAAGTTCAAATGATTCTCCTGCCTCAGCCACCCAAGTAGCTAGATTACAGACGTGTGCCACCACATCAGGTTAATTTTTATATTTTTAGTAGAGATGGAGTTTCACCATGTTGGCCAGGCTGGTCTCAAACTCCTGACCTCCAGTGATTCTCCGGCCTAGGTCTCCCAAAGTGCTGGGACTATGGGTGTGAGCCATAGTGCCTGGCCTGAAGGGATATCTCTTTAGGTCATTACTTGAGATTTGTGACTCCAGAATGGCTATGAACTGTATCTTTCCTTGGTCCTGTCTAGTAAACTAGCCAACCTAGTTTTGCTTCTATCTCTGATGAATTTTCCAAATTCCTTGTAATGGCATTTTTTATCAGAGCCTCCATTGTTTCTGAGAGCACCTTTGGGCTTGAACTTCTCCACACTCTTGCAAACGAAGTCTACCCATTTGGGAATAAATCTGAAGCTCCCGGCCTTCTCCTTGTCCTAGGCAAAATCTCTTAGACACAGTTCTGAGCTGGGGTCAGGGACAATGGCACATCTCTTGCTGAGTGACACACCTGCTCTAAGAGATTGTCAGTCTGTGGAGAGTGGGGAAGTAGCTTCAAGTCTTCTTGGCTTGCCTCCGCCTATGAGCCAGAATGAGGACAATCAGAGAGTCCCAGTATTCTCAGCGGCACCACACACAATGTAGAGTCTCTATCCGGTGCATGGGGCTGGGGTGGACTAAGAGAGCTACCATCTTGGCCATATTCATACAGAGCTTAGTCTCAGCAACAGGTAGCTGGGGACCGTGTGGAAAATGCTGGCACTCTATCCCTCTTGGCAAGACAGTTCTCTGACTGGGAGCTAGTTGGAGAGGAAACCCTGTGTTCTTGGCTGAACCAGTCAGGACAGGCCGACATGGTGAAACCCCATCTCTACTAAAAATACAAAAATTAACTGCACCTCTCCCACCTCCTCCCAGCATGGCATCACAGCCCCTGCCTTCCTCTCAGGATGGACATTCCACCCCATAGACTCTCCCTGGATGTCATCTTGACTTCCTTTGTGTGCTTAGCTCTCACCTCACATGTGAGTCTCCTGTGCCCTGAGGCTCCTCCAACATGGGGTAGGGGGGCAGGCTCAGCAGATAGCTCAGGGGTGCAGGCAACCAGCCCTACTGGGTTGAGCCTCCATGTAGTGGAGACAGAAGATGACAGAAAAGTGTTCTAGCAGTTGGGCACGGTGGCTCACACCTGTAATCCCAGCACTTTGGGAAGTAGAGGCAGGAGGATCACTTGGGGCCAGGAGTTTGAGACCAGCCTGGGCAACATAGTGAGACATTGTCTCTACCAAAAATTTAAAAAATTATCTGAGCATGGTGGTGCATGCCTGTGGTCCCAGCTACTTGGGAAGCTGAGATGGGAGGATCACTTGAGCCTAGGAGGTTGAGCTGCTGTGAGCCAGGATTGCGCTACTGCACTCCAGCTTGGGCAACAGAGCAAAACCCCGTCTCAAAATAAATAAATAATAAGAAAGCTGTTCCAGTCACCTGTCTGGCAGGTATCCAGCTCTGGGAGACACTGCCGGCTCTTCCCAGACCCCAGCAGGCTCCTCCACTTTGACAACACCCACCTGCCCAGGCCTCTCCTACTTCTGCCTCACTCCTAGCTGGGGTTGCCTTCTTAACAAAGGACCTCCACTCAGCTCAGCCTTTGGGGAAGCCAGGCTAAATACACTCATCTGACATCTTTTGCGACCCTCTCGCAAGCCCATCTTTCTCCGGCTACACCAAATTGACCGCAGGTCTTTGTCTCATTCCTCACATTTCTGGACACCTATTGTATCAGAGGTATTCTTCTAGATGCTAGGGATACATGAGTGAAGAAAAGAGACAAAAATTCCTGCCCTCACCCAGCTTACATTCTAATGAGGAAGGGCACTGGGAAAGCAAAGTGAATTGTGAGGAGGTGATACGTTCTGCAGAGAAAAGCAGAGCAGGATGGGGATGGGTGGAGCCAGAGTGTTGCAGGCTGAGCTCTTCAGTGGCATCTGCTGAGATGGAATGTGGGGCCAACAACTGTGGAAGGGAGCAGGTGGAAGCAGGACTGGGCAGAGGGAGAACTTGAACGGTGATGGACGCCCAGCAAAGTCTTGGAGAAGTTCTGGAGCGAGTACAGTTGAACAGAGTCCCACATGAGACGGAAACGGTAAGTTCCTTACAGTCCCCGCTTTGCTCAGTCACCAGATGCAGGCTGCCCTAAGCAGGGTGTGACCTTGGGTGAGGCTGTGTGCGGCCACGCTGGGCTCTGCAGGAGCAGAGAGCTGGAGGGTGTCTGGTGGCTGCTGCTCCCCAGGTCCCGCTGGAAGGGGTGTGGTGGTGCTACCTGTGTCTACTGGAGGGGTGTGCTCAGAGGTGGCCTGAAGGAGTTCCAGGAAGTGTGCTCTGCAGACACCTGAGGGACAAGCTCATAGACAGAGGGAACAAGCATATGACCCCTGAGTGTGGCTGTGTCTGAGGCCCGGAGTAATAGCCGGAGGCTGGCAGTGCCGCAGTGAGTGGGCAGTGGGTGAGAATTTCAAGCAGCCAGGGCTGCGAGGCCACCATGAGGACTCTGGCCTGCAATATGATCTGGAGGGGAGCTGTGAAGGGATGAGGGCAGTGGGGACATTCCTTAGATCAGGACAGCTTGGAGCAGGAGAGCCAATGAGGACCATTGCGGGGCTCCAGAGAGAGGAGCTAATTCCTACCTCTGAGGACTGTCCGCGGTGGGTTCTGCCCACATGGCTGGCCATTGCAACTGTTTAACCAGCCCTCAGAGCTTTAGCCGGTGTCTGCTGCCCTCTGGTGGGTATGCTAGAGATGAACCAAGCCTGCTTCCCCCTTTTTTCTTTTGTCAACAGCCTATCTTTCAACTCCGTGGTATGAAAACTTTCTAGGCTGGGCATGGTGGCTCACACCTGTAATCTCAACACTTTGGGAGGATGAGATGGGAGGATCGCTTGAGCCCAATTTGAGACCAGCCTGGGCAACACGGCAAAACCCATCACTGTTATTATTATTATTATTTTGAGATGGAGTCTCGCTTTGTTGCCCAGGCTGGAGTGCAGTAATGTGATCTCGGCTCACTGCAACCTCCGATCCCTGGGTTCAAGCAATTCTTGTGTCTCAGCCTCTCGAGTACCTGGGACTACAGCTGCACGCCACCACGCCTGGCTAATTTTTGTATCTTTGATAGACACAGGGTTTCATCATGTTGGCCAGGCTGGTTTTGAATTCCTGACCTCAAGTGATCCGCCCTCTTCAGCCTCCTCAAGTGCTGGAATTACAGGCATGAGCCACCACACCTGGCCCACATCTCTATTATTAACAAAACAAAACAAACAAACAAAAACCTCTTGACATAGATGATAGAGGTGTCAGACAACACCTGTTGATGAGGCAGCAACTCATCAACTGAGAGACAGGGAGGCGCAGGGAGCCATGGTGTCCACACAGCAGTGTGCGGACTGGGGCTGGCTTGCGGTTTTCTAGTAGTGAGGGTCACCAGCACCAGGAAGAGAAATGGGGCTGAAGGATGCATCCAGGACAGGAAGCTGTAAAGAAGGTGCCATTCCCAGGAGGTCAACAAGATGAAGATGCTGAGGGTGCTTGCCACACAGCTCTGAGTTCAAGGGTAGTTCATAGATTCCTGCTAGGGACGGAAGGAAATGGAGCTTATGGAAAGAAAATGCATATGATGAAGGCCTGTCGATCAAAACAGAGCTGAATTATTCTGGTGAACCGAGGGTGTGAGAGGACTGTAGACAGAGGGAGCTATGGGAACTGCAGAGCCATGGGAGGTGTGGCTGCCCTCCTGGCTGTTGGAACGCAGGCACCTGCACTCACCCCTGCTGCCTCTGCTGAGACTGTTGCTGCCTGCTACAGCCCAAATTCACTCACTACTGATGCTAACCCTGCCAGGGGAGTGATCATGAGGAGAATAATTACTTCTTCCTGCCTTCCACTCTCCTGCCAGTGTCTCCCTGACAGAGCTGCACTGGAAGCCCACTAGAAAAGCAGTCTGGAAGATTTAGTTTACAGGCTTCTTTAGCCCCCTTCAATGCAGAGGACAGCACTCCAAGCCAGGGGAGGTACGAGCTTCCTAACTGCTATGTAAAATCCCCTTCACCCTTTCGTTCCTCCAGTCCTTCCAACACCATTCTTCCAATTTCCTGCACAGAAGCTGTTTGAATTTTCCACAGTTGCACTATCCTGTTCAACATGGGCATAAACAATGATGGGGGGCAAATCCAGGTATTCCAGGACCTGAATTTATACAATTGGAGGGGAGTTCTCTTTGACAAAAGGAATATAACATTATGAACAGTAAATTAGCTTATTAGCCTCATGATAAATTCACCTCTGCCTATATCCCAACAATTCCACTCCAGATACTAGAGAAACTCCAGTATATATGTGCACCAAGTGACATGGTTTAGTATGTTCATGAGGGCATCGTGCTTTTTGTTGTTGCTGTTGCTTGTCTGTTTTTTGAGGCAGAGTCTTGCTCTGTCACCCAGGCTGGAGTGCAATGGCACAATCTTGGCTCACTGCAACCCCTGTCTCCTGGGCTTAAGCAATCCTCCTACCTCAGTCACCTGTAGCTGGGACTACAGGCATGCACCACCACGCCTGGCTAATTTTGTATTAGCCAGGCTGGTCTTGAACTCCTGTCCTCAAGTAATCCACCCACCTTGGTCTCCCAACATGCTAGGATTACAGGCATGAGCCACCATGTCTGGCCAATGAGGGCATCTTTCTAATGGGAAAAGAAGTAGAATTAATCCAGGCGAAAGCAGTGGGAAGTTCGTACTGGGCAGAAGACAATGGGTCTGTGGCTTGGGAGAAAATGCCTCATGTAAAAAAAAGCAACTCAAGCTGGAAGACAGGGCCCTGCAAAGAGACATCTTGCAGAACAATTTGCAGTTGGGGAGAGAATAACTAACATGGCAAAAAAGGAATGGAAAGTAGGATTACCCGTTGGCCAAGGAGGCTTTGTATGTATATATCTTGCTGATATGAATTCTTCAGGGTCAGTTGGAACTGATGCACCTTGTGTTGTAAAAGTGGAACCCAGTGACAATGGACCTCTTTTTACTGAATTAAAGTTCTACCAACAAGCTGCAAAACCAGAAATGGATTCATACCCATAAGCTGAAGTACCTGGGTGTTCCTAAGTATTGGGGGTTTGGTCTACATGACAAAAATGGAAAAAGTTACAGGTTTATGATAATGGATCACTTTGAGAGTGAGCTTCAGAAAATATATGAGGCAAATGCCAAAAGCTTTTCTCAGAAAACTGTCCTGCAGCTAAGCTTAAGAAGTCTGGATATTCTGGAGTATATTCACAAGCATGAGTATGTGCATGGAGGTATCAAGGCCTCAAATCTTCTTCTGAGCTACAAGAATCCTGACCGGGTATACTTGGTAGATTATGGCCTTGCTTATCAGTACTGCCCAGAAGGAGTTAATAAAGAATACAAACAAGACCCCAAAAGATGTCACGATGGCACTATTGAATCCACAAGCATTGATGCACACAATGGCGTGGCCCCATCAAGACGTGGTGATTTGGAAATACTTGGTTATTGCATGAACCAGTGGCTTACTGGCCATCTTCCGTGGGAGGATAATTTGAAAGATCCTAAATATGTTACAGAATCCAAAATTAGATATAGAGAAAATATTGCGAGTTTGATGGACAAATGTTTTCCTGAGAAAAACAAGCCAGGTGAAATTGCCAAATACATGGAAACAGTGAAATTACTAGACTACACTGTAAATACTCTTTATCAAAATATATGCAATATTCTTTTGCAAGGACTAAAAGCTATAGGAAGTAAGGATGATAGCAAATTGGACCTCAGTGTTGTGGAGAATGGAAGTTTGAAAGCAAAAACGGTAACAAAGCGAAAGAAAGAAATTGAAGAAAGCAAAGAATGTGGTGTTGAAGATATGGAATGCTCAAGTACACAGACAGAGGAGCCCACACAGACCCACCTGTTCAAGAACCAGAAAGAGAGCCCAGAAGTCATTCAGATGCTGTGAACCAGCTTTTCTTTTCTTTTTTTTTTTTTTTTTTTTTGTTGTTTCTTTTGATTTTTTCTTCTTTTCTTTTTCTTTTTTTTTAAGATGGGGTTTCACCATGATGGCCAGGCTGGTCTTGAACTCCTGACCTCAGGTGATCCACCCACCTTGGTCTCCCAAAGTTGATTTTTTCTTCTTTTCTATTTGAAGTGTTTTGTTTTCATGTGAGTCTTGCGAGGTGAAAGTAATAATTAAATTGCCGTGTGTTCAGAAAATATAAACTTTTTATAAAAATATTTTGTACAATTTAAAAAAAGTAGAATTAATCCATCACTATCAAAACAACAATGAATATAGGAAGAATCAATATTTTATATTAAAAATATATCAATTATCCTGAAACTGTATCTAAGATTCAATATATATGGATTAGACTAGAACCAAAAAGTAAGGTTCCACTCTAGTGCCCAGGATAGAATGCAATGGTACAACCTTGGCTCATTGAAGCCTTGAGCAATCCACCTCAGCCTCCCAAGTAGCTGGGACTACAGGCACACACTGCCATACTCAGCTAATTTCTTTTTAATTTTTTGTAGAGATGAGGTCTCACTGTGCTTTTCAGGCTGGTTTTGAACTCCTGGGCTCAAGCAATTTGCCTGTCCTAGCCTCCCGAAGTGCTGGGATTACAGGCATGAGCCACTAGGCCTGGTCTTAGGCTAATTATTTATTTATTATTATTATTATTTTTTTTTTTTTTTGAGATCGAGTCTCTGTCACCCAGGCTGGAGTGCATTGGCTCAATATCAGCTAACTGAAACCTCTGCTAATTTTTGTATTCTTAGTAGAGACAGGGTTTTACTACGTTGGCCAAGCTGATCTCAAGCTCCTGACCTCAAATGATCCCCCAGCCTCAGCCTCCCAAAGTGGTGGGATTATTGGCATGAGCTACCATGCCTAACTAAAAAAAAAAAAATTTTGTAGAGATGAGATCTTGCTATGTTGCCAAGTCTGGTCTCTAACTTCTGGCCTCAGGGGATTCTCCCACTTTAGCCTCTAGAGTAGCTGGGACTATAGGTAGGAGCCACCCACCATGCCCCGGCGTGATGATACACAGTGCACTCAGATATCCGTGCAGGATCACTCTATCCCCCGCACAATACAGCACCATGCCCTGTTCAGATGTATTAATTATTGGAATGAGTATATGATGTTCCACTCCCACACCCCAGCCTTCTAGTCAATGTGGAGACAAAATAATAGATATTGTTTGTTTGCACACAAAAGTGACGGCATGCATTGGAACCGAATCATTTTCTGAGTGAAAAAAACAAAAAAGTGACGGCATATGGCGCTGATTCTTCCTACAGCCTCGAAGGCCACATCCTAAAAGCATATTCCATATTCGGTAAAATCCTGACCCAGCCTCAGAGCTACGTCACCGCGTTGTTTCCATTTTAAGGCGGATTCCACTGAACCTATACTTGAACCTTATCTAGAGGAACACAGTCTATAATTGGGACAATCCCCGTTCTCATTCCTAAGAGGTGAGGTGGCCGGGGCGGGACCTCCAGACCTCCAGCAACTGTGACTGGCACTCTCCCCGCGAGCAGCAAGTGCCACCTTGTCCTTTCCCTAGCGTTATACAGTTTACGAAATCAACGAACCAACACGTTAATTTCATCTTCCCAGCAACCTAGGGAGGCAAAAATGCTCACTTCCCCCGTCCAAAATACCCCAGATCAGAGGAGAGATGAGGAAAAGAAAAGGCGTGGCTACGAGCTGTGGTGGGGAAGGCCGGTGGAATCCTGCAGCCTGAGCTGGAAATCTTTACCCGCTCAGCAGTGACCCAGGCTATTTATTCGCACCAGCAGGAGCAGCTGCGCGCAGAGGGCACGAAGACTCTCCTCGCTCTCACACTGCAGGCAGCTAAGTCGCTGTGAGAGGCGGCAGTGTTACCCCCGACCCGCTCCAGCCACCCGTCTTGCCACCTCCACAACCCTAGAACCGCCAGCACACGCCAGTCCCGTTCGCTACTCCGCCGGAAGTCCCGCCTGCGCCGCGGACGCGCCCCATTGGGTCAGATCCTGGGGCATCACCGCAGGTGCGCCTTCCCCTGTGTGAGCTCTGGGCGGCCACGGCTAGCCCCAGATGAGGCCAGGTTTGAGGCCTGCGAAGGCGCGGGGCCGCGCGCAGCAGGCGGGCTCCGTGGCGCGGGATAGCGAGCGACTGGCCGGCGGCAGGACTTCCGCCACGGGACCCGGAAGGGGCCGCACCGCCGTTACTGGGTGTTGTAGCGTGACAGCAGTTAGGGTACCAGCGGCTCATGTGCGGTGCCCTGAGGCTTGTTTCACATCTGTGACAGGTGAATTGGGGTTTTTATTCTGCCCTTTCGTGCCCTCTTGAGGAGTCTGCCGCGGCCAGGGTTGTCAGCGCGAGGAGAGGACCCGGTTCGACCGCCGGCCAGGCGGAGAGGGGGCGGAGAAGCCGGCGGGCCCGAGGAGCAGGTCGGGCCTCCTTGCCCTGCCTGGCAAGCCGGCCGGCAGCCGGGCCTTGGTCTGCCGTTGCCATGGAAACCGTTCAGCCGGGCCTCGCCGCCCGGGATTCCGCAGGGGCCGCGAGAGAGGCCGTTTCCTTGGCGCAACGACGCCGTCGCCTCACTGTATGCTCCGTTTCCCCAGGCAGGGCCTTGAGGAAGCCTCCGGAGTGTGAGACCTTTGTTTGCTTCTCCTCCCTCCCGGTGCTGCCGGGACCTGTTGTCCAGAAGGATGCCCGGTGCATTCTGGCTTCCCTGTTTTGCCCCGGCCGAGTTTGAGTTGTTGTTGTTGTTTTAAATAAAGACGGGGTTTCACCATATTGGTCAGACTGGTCTTGAACTCCTGATCTCAGGTGATCCGCCCGCCTCAGCCTCCCAAAGTGCTAGGATTACAGGTGTGAGCCACCGCGACCGGCGAGTGTGAATTCTTTTTTTTTTTTGAAGACGGGGTTTCACCATGCTGGTCAGGCTGGTCTTGAACTCCGGACCTCAGGTGATCCTGCCGCCTTGGCCTCCAAAGTGTTTCGATTACAGGCGTGAGCCACCTCACCCAGCCGCTGAATATTTTTTAAAACAAATTTTTTGGCCAGGCGTGGTGGCTCATGCTTGTAATCCCAGCACTTTGAAAGGGTGAGGCAGGCGGATCACGAGATCAAAAGATCGAGACCATCCTGGCCAACATGGTGAGAACCCGTCTCTACTAAAAATACAAACATTAGCTGGGCATGGTGGCCTGCGCCTGTAATCCCAGCTACTCGGGAGGCTGAGGCAGGAGAATCGCTGGAACCCGGGAGGCAGAGGTTTTAGTGAGCTGAGCTGAGCCACTGCACTCCAGCCTGGGCGATAAAGCGAGACTCTGTCTCAAAAAAAAAAAAAAAAAAGTTAAGCCAGAAGTGTTGCTTTTTTTCTTGTCATCTCTAGGTGTATTCCTCAGTTTAATATGCTAATAAGCAAAATGCACCAAAACTTTTGGCTAATAGTTGTGCTTTAACTTCATATTTGTTATTCCTTTCATAGGGACTCTGCTATGAAAATCTTTTTATTCTCACGGTACAGTTATTCTTTGATACTGTCAGTCAAATCTCATTTTTAGGGGCTTGACTAGGTTTTATGAAAGCCCAGTAAGCCAGTTTGCCCATAAGGCAGTCATCAGGCCGGGCGTGGTGGCTCACGCCTGTAATCCAAGCACTTTGGAGACCAAGGCGGGCAGATCACCTGAGGTCGGGGGTTCAAGATGAGCCTGACCAACATGGTGAAACCCCGTCTTTAAAAAAAAAAGGCAGTCATCAGTCCTGTTTCCCGATGTCACCTGACAGAAGGGGGGGGTCCATGTAGAATTTAATTTCTTCCTAGAAGTCCCATGGAAACCTGTAAGTATTATGATGAACAAGGTAGAACTATATGCCTCTGATGATGAAATGCATCCCCTTCAGTTTAACAGGGTGTGGGGAGTTTTAGGACAGAGAAGATAAATAAGCGTTCATTTACAAAGAAGCAAAGACAATTACTCTAGAGTGGAGCTGGTCGAGTTATACAAAAAGACAGTTGCAGGTAAAAAGAAAAAGAAAAAACATAAGAGTGGAGCTGGCCTTCTGGTCCTCAACACTGGGGATCAGCAGTTGGGGCTCATCAGTGAAGAGTGTCACTTTTCTCATCTTCTGGATAGTGCTGTCTGTGTTACTGGCGTCTTCTTTGTGGGCTCCTGGACCAGGAGTATTAATCATTGCCCCTTGGCCCTCCTTGTTCTCAGGATTCCAGCTTTCCCGCCTTGCCAAAGTGTTCAGCCTGGACTTACTCAGAAAAGGTAAGACTGCAACTGTGTTTGTGACCTCATGCCCCTCATTATTGGGATGGGCATGTGTGAGGGCTGTGAAAGTCTCTCACCAGTGTGTAGTTCTTGTATGTTGCTTGGGTAGTTTTCCAGAGTCCTTTCCTATAGCCTTCCTCTTGCATGGTGCTTATAATCTGTGCCATCCCTTGCCCTGGCCTTTTTGTACATTTGCCGTGCCTCCCCTCAGTGCCCTCTTCCGCATACTTCCTGCTTATTAAAATCCTATTTTTTTTTTTTTTTTTTTTTGAGATGGAGTTTCGCTCTTGTTACCCAGGCTGGAGTGCAGTGGCGCAATCTCAGCTCACCGCAACCTCTGCCTCCTGGGTTCAAGCAATTCTCCTGCCTCAGCCTCCCGGGTAGCTGGGACTACAGGCATGCGCCACCATGCCCAGCTAATTTTTGTATTTTTAGTAGAGACAGGGTTTCACCATGTTGACCAGGATGGTCTCGATCTCTTGACCTCGTGATCCACCTGCCTCAGCCTCCCAAAGTGCTGGGATTATAGGCATGAGCCACCACGCCCAGCCTAAAATCCTATTTTTTTTTTTTTTAATTGAGGTGGAGTCTCACTCTGTCAGCCAGGCTGGAGTGCAGTGACACAGACTCTGCTCACTTCAACATCTGCCTCATGGATTCAAGTGATTGTCCTGCCTCAGCCTTTCTAGTAGCTGGGATTACAGGTGCCTGCCACCATGCCCAACTAATTTTTGTATTTTTAATAGAGATGGGATTTCACCATGTTGGCAAGGCTGGTCTTGAACTTTTGACCTCAAGGGATTTGCCCGATGCGGCCTCCCAAAGTGTTGGGATTACAGGCATGAGCCACCATGCTTGGCCTCTAAAATTCTATTTTTTTTTAGGCTAGTGTTTTATACGATCTCCTTCATGAACTTTTCCTAATTCTGTCAACCAAATGCAATCTTTCTCCAACTTTCCTCAGTACTGTATCTGTTCTTTCTCATGCTTAGTCTATTCTGAATTAATCATTTTGTCACTAGACTGGAAGCTCCCTGTAGCTAGGGCCTGTTGTGCTCTTTTGTCATGCATAGCACCTGGCCGGGCATTTTGCACAGTAAACACTGTGGATTGAGCCTGTATTAGGCTGTTCTTGCATTGCTGTAAAGAAATACCTGAGACTGGGTAATTTATAAACAAAAGAGGTTTAATTGACTCACAGTTCCACAAGGCTGGGGATGCCTCAGGAAACTTACAGTCATGACAAAAGGTGAAGGGGAAGCAATGCAAATTTTACCTGGCTGCAGGAGAAAAAGAGCAAAAGAGTCAGTGCCACACTTTCAAACAACCAGATCTCATGAGAACTTATTCACTGTCATGAGAACAGCAAGGGGGATGTCCACCCCACCCCCATGAATTCAATCACCTCCCATTAGGCCCCTCCCCCAAAACATGGGGATTATAATTCAAGAGAAGATTTGGGTGGGGACACAGAACTAAACTGTTCGGTAGAAAGTCCCGCCACCCTCCCCTCAGGCTTCCTGTCAGCTCACCTGGACAGTTCTTCCCCAAGGTTTCAGGGATAGCCCTCACCTGTTTGGTCAGGCCCTGGCAACAGACCTTCTAGGCTGCCGCCTAGCCCCATCTATTGTTCTTCGGTATGTTGATGACCTACTCGTCTGTTCCCCCAGCCAGGAAGAGTGCACCCGAGCCACTACTGTTCTGCTCAACTTTTTAGGAGACAAAGGGTATAGAGTTTCAAGAAAGAAGGCCCAACTCGTTACCTCATCAGTCATTTACTTGGGCCTACAGCTTTCCCCGGGAAAGAAATCCATTATCCCCGATCGACTGCAGGCCCTGAAAGCCCTCCAACCCCCACAGTCTGCCACTGAAATACTCTCCTTTCTAGGGGTAGTGGGATTCTTCCGGCATTGGGTGCCCAACTTTGCCCTTCTGGCCAAGCCACTTTACCAAGCAGCCGCAGATACTCCTGAAGGCCCACTTACTTCACAGGGAACAGTGACTTGAGCCTTCCACACACTCCTACAAGCACTATGCGCTTCAACTTTTCTTGCTCTACCCAATCCCAATCTTCCTTTTCACTTGTATACGGATGAGAAAGCCCACATCGCGGTAGGAGTCCTGGCTTAACCAGTCAGCAACACCCTCCTTCCTCTAGCATACCTTTCCAAATAACTCAGCCCCACAGAAAAGGGGTGGCCACCTTGCCTCCGAGCCTTAGCAGCAGCCGCCACACTTACGACAGAGGCCCTTAAGATCAACCTCCAGCAACCACTCACAGTATTCTTCCCTCACAAACTGCAGGAGCTTGTGTCCGGTCAGGCCTTACCACACCTCGGGCCGTCCAAGGTCCAACTCCTGCACCTTCTATCCCTAGAGAACCCCGACATTTGTCTCTCTCACTGTCCTGCTCTTAACCCAGCCACCCTTTTCCCTTCTCCAACCGCTTCGGCACAAGATCACCGATGCCTCGAGGTTATCATTGAAACCCAATCCCCACGGCCCGACCTACACTCCACCCCCATCGAGGCCGAAACAACACTCTTCATAGATGGGAGCTCCTTCCTACGCCCAGGAAAACCCCGTATTGCTGGATATGCAATAGTGACCCATTCAGACGTCATCGAGACTCATTCCCTCCCCTTAGGAACCACCTCGCAACAGGCTGAGTTAGTCGCCCTCACCCGGGCTCTCAAGTGGGCCAGGGACAAAACTGTCAACGTATACACAGACTCAGAGTACGCTTTCCTTATTGCACACTCCCATTGTATGATCTGGAAAGAGAGAGGATTCTTGACCACCAAGGGCACCCCGGTAGTTAACGGAAAACTCATATCTGATCTCATCTCAGCCATCCAGCTTCCAAAGCAGGTTGCCATCATTCACTGTCGAGGACACCAAACCTCCGGGTCTCTAGTAGCCCTAGGTAATGCTTTTGTGGACAGGACAGCCAGTGAGATAGCACAAACCTGCCCACCCCCTAAAGAAATCTACTTCCTGTCACGCCACTACCAACCCCAGTATTCCCCCTCTGAGCTCGAACTTTTACAGCAAAACCCTGGAGTGACCTTCAGGGATGGATGGGCCTTCAATCACAACCTTCTGATACTTCCCCAAGCACAAAAAACTACCATCATAAAGGCCATCCATGATTCCCTGCATATCGGGCCAAAAGCCCTGCTCCACTTCCTCCTACCCATATTACATCCAGAAGGGCTTCCCTCCCTTATTCACCAGGTCCATGCTCAATGTCTCATTTGTGTGAAGACCAACCCCCAAGGAGCCTGTCACCTCCGCCAACAGCTCCACCAGTTGCGTGGATCTTTACCAGGACAAGATTGGCAAATTGATTTTACTCACATGCCAAGACATAAACAGTTTCGGTTCCTGTAAACCATTGTCGATACTTTTTCAGGCTGGATTGAAGCTTTTCCCAACACTTCGGAGTCCGCCGACACCGTTGCCACCCATCTCATCCAGGACATCATCCCTTGGTTTGGGCTTCCAGCCACTATTCAGTCAGACAACGGCCCGGCCTTTGTCTCCAAAGTTACTAACGCTGTCTGTGCTTCCTTAGGAATTCAGTGGAAGCTGCATGCGGCCTACCACCCCCAGTCATCGGGTAAGGTAGAACGGGCTAACGGACTCATCAAGGATCAGCTTACCAAACTCTCTCTCAAGCTTAAGCAGTCGTGGGTCTCTTTACTACCGTTAGCTCTTACCAGGCTGCGGGCCTGCCCCCGAGGAGCCTCACAGCTCAGTCCATTTGAGCTTCTATACGGGCGACCCTTCCTGTTATCCACTCCACCTTCTCCAGAAAGTTCCCCTCTGAACACCTACCTTCCCTATTTTACCCTCCTCAGACATCTACTCAGGGAACACGCCAACGCTTCCATACCCCAGACCTCAGAAATTCCACCCGCTCTGGGAAAGGTTGCCCCCGGTGACTCTGTCTTCATTAAAACTCTCACTCCAAAACCCCTCTCACCCTGGTGGGAAGGGCCCTACACCGTCATTTTAGCCACCCCAACGGCCATCAAAGTTGCTCAGATTCCATCTTGGGTCCATCTCTCAAGAGTAAAAAAGTATCCCGATGGCCCTTCCAGTTCCCGTTGGGAGTGTGTTCCTACTGGTCCTCTATCACTTAAGCTCTTTAAGCCCTGAATTGTCCTTAGCTAACCCTCAGTATGTCTGGAGATTTTTTCTCACTGAAAATTATACCAAAACTACTGGGATTTGCTCGACCCCTCCTCACTCCCATAACCACCTCCTGACCACGTCAGATTGCCCCATCACAGGATGTGCATCCCCCATCCAACTCAACTTCTCCACCCTTAACAATGTCCGCAATACTCACCCATTGCTATGCTTTAACTATAAACAGACAGGTGATTGTCAGACCTCCAGTTGGCACTCTTGTATGGGATGTGTCTGGGGCTCCTGTCAGAGGGACCCCACAGCTGACGAAGACGAAGACAGGGTGGCCGCTTCCCTTCCCTCCTTAAGAGGACCACAAAATTCGACTCAGAGGGCAATCCCAGCAAAGAGTGCCAGCTTACTCTAACCATCCCAGATCCCTGGGACGATAGATGGCAAGCACCCCAAAAGGCCTCAGTCTACGAGACCAGTACCACAAGTTATCCGTCCTCACACATATATCTGGCGGGCATATGTCCTCACCTCTCCAGAAATCCACAACACGATCCAAGTGCAAGAAACTACATTAAAAACTCAGCTAGCCCCTTTCTCGTGGTTAACCCTCATGAGAGAAGGCCTAAAGCTCGCCAACCAGACAGGGTTAACCAATCTGACCTCTTGCCTCCTGTGTGCTACTCTTGGACAAACTCCTCTAGTTGCGGTCCCAACCATGTTCCCTACACATCACACCAACGGGACAGGCCGACACCCCCCAATTCCAGACGTCCCACTCTTCTACCTCAACACTTCACCCTTTCCGGCCTGCTACTCTTCTCAGAGCTCAGACTCCACATGCAACAGGACTCAACAACTCACAACTAATCTAACAGCTCCCCGAGGTTTTTACTTTTTGTGCAACGGTACCCTTTCCAAACTACTAACCCAGTCCGACCTTAGAGGACATTCCGCTGTCTCCCTGTCACCTTGGTCCCACGCCTCACTGTCTATTCACCGGCTGAGTTCCTTATGATGCACACTAGCATGTCTTCCGCACGCCCCAGTTCCCATCGTCAACGAAGAGCTGCCTTTCTTCCCATAGCTATCGGGCTCTCCCTCGCAGGATCCACAGCTGCTCTAGGCCTAGGAAGCAGGGCCCTGATTAACACTCACCAGGCCCTAGCCCGCCTTTTCTCACAGCTGCAAACTGCAATTGATGACTCTGCTGCCTCCCTAGCATCTCTCCAGCGACAAGTCACTTCGGTTGCTCAAGTAGCCTTACAAAACCGAAGAGCTCTGGACCTGCTTACGGCCAAAAGAGGAGGGACCTGCATCTTCTTACAGGAAGAATGTTGTTACTACATCAATGAATCTGGGATAGTAGAAACCCGCATCGAAAATCTCCAGAAAATCAAGGCAGAGCTACAAAGTCACCAGTTCACCACTGAAGCCACCGCATGGTGGTCGTCATCCATGTACACCCTCCTATCCCCACTGATAGGGCCTCTGCTTATCATCTGTCTTTTCTTACTTGTCGCCCCTTGTTTCTTTCAGTTCTTGCAGCGCCGTTTCCAGGAGCTTACCCAGATCACTATCAACCAGATGCTGCTACAACCAGTCCCCAGCCATCCAGATTGCGCATATACCCCCCTACCGACCTCCCAGGCTCCGTAAAGACCCCACTCCGCCCCTGTCCAGCAGGAAGTAGCCAGATCGACTCCACAGCCCCTTTCCCTTTTTTAAGGAGTCAGGGATGTTCGGTAGAAAGTCCTGCCACCCTCCCCCCAGGCTTCCTGCCGTCTGGAGGAAAACCCTTAGGCGCTGCTCTGTTCTGCCCGACAACAAGCAGCCAATCATCGCAGCAGAAAAGCCCGCCAAGCCTCAGCCTATCCTGAACCGACACATAACCCTCTGAGCTACCTCAGCAGTCTGCCCAGAGACGGACAGCCTATCCTAAGCTCCCACGACACTCCGCCAGCCCTGTGTCCACGCCCCGTCCACCCCCCTATAAAACCCTCCTACCCCAGCTACGCAGTCGCAGCCGGCCCAGATCTCCTTCCTTTCCTGGCCTGCCCGCTGGTCCCAATAAAGCTGAACTCGGCTTCCAACTCTCGAGCTGTTACTTGGGATCGGGTACTGGGCAGGGGTCTACAAGGGGGTCGCACATAAACCATATCAAGGAGTAACTTTATATTTTATTTTTCCAATTTCCCAGGATATCCCAGAATCTAAGCGTGGGGAACACAGAGGTGAATAAGAAATCTATGGTCATTTTATTTAGGACAATGTGACATCATAGTTATAGCAAAGATGTATATTCCCTGGGTGTGGTGGTTCACACCTGTAATCCCAGCACTTTGGGAGGCCAAAGTGGGCGGATCATGAGGTCAGGAGTTCAAGACCAGTCTGGCCAATATGGTGAAACCCCATCTCTACTAATAATACAAAAATTAGCCAGGGGTGGTGGCATGCACCTGTCGTCCCAGCTACTTGGGAGGCTGAGGCACAAGAATTGCTTGAAGCCAGGAGGCAGACGTTGCCGTGAGCTGAGGTCGCACCACTGCACTCCAGCCTTGGAGGCAGAGGGAGATTCCGTCTCAAAAAAAAAAAAAAAAAAAAAAGATGTATATTCAGAACCAAGATTTGAAAATTATTTCTGCCATTTAAATGTTTATTGTTTAATCTCAGTAATATCAAAGATAACCACCCACTGCCTCCTGAGAATAAATTAACATATTCCAAACACCTAAACCACATTAATAAATAGTAAGCACCTGCTATATTTTAGCTCATTCTGTGGTCGGATTGCACAGTGATGACAGACGTGAACTCTGGAGCAGACTGGATAGCTTTGTGTTCTAGATTCACTACATAGTAGTTATGTACTCTTGGGCAAGTTACTGAAGCTCACAGCACTTAATATGTTCTTATAAAAAATAGTAAGAATAGAGATACTACCTTCATAGGTTTATTGTAAAGTAGTAGAGCACCAGTGATGGCATAAAATGTAATGGCTTTGTTGAAGAAAGTGACATTGCCTTCTCTGATTTGGATATCAAACAAGAGTCCACAAAAATGCCAGGTGATCACACATGTATTCCTAGCACTTTGGGAGGCCAAGGCAGGTGGATCACTTGAAGACAGGAGTTCGAGACCAGCCTGGCCAACATGGTAAAACCCTATCTCTGCTAAAAATACAAAAATTAGCCAGGTGTGGTGGCAGCTGCCTGTAATCCAAGCTACTCAGGAGGCTGAGGCAGGATAATTGCTTGAACCCAGGAGGCAGAGGTTGCAGTGAGCCAAGATTGCACCATTGCACTCCAGTCGGGGCGACAGAGTGAGACAGACTCCATCTCAAAAAAAAAGAGTCCACAAAGACACACAATCAACGAGCAGCCTAGAAGGAAAGGTTTATGCTGGGTCCGAAGCCAGGACATGCCTTCATGATGGCTGCATGACAGGAAAGCAGCCCATGACCAGTGGGCCTCATGAGCAAGAGGGAAGCTAGTGGAACATGAGCTCAGAGAGAGGTTGGTCATCGTGGCTGCTGTGAGCCAGGAAGAGTAGTGTGCACTTAGCTTTCTGGGAAATGCAAATAAATTACTATTTGTATACAATACAAATTTATTATCTGAAGTACTTTTGTATAGTATCACTCCGGCTTTTCTGTGGAGAATAGGTTGTAGGAAAAGTACAGGGAAGGCAGGGGGATTTGGTGAGTAGTAGGGTGAGAGGTAAATGTTCCTTCTACTGCTAGGACCAGGGAGAAGATAATTCAGTACAGATTTTGAATGCAGAGTCCACAGGAACACCTGACAGATAAGACATGTGAAAAGGTTATAATAGAGTATTGAGGCGGGGCACAGTGACTCATACCTGTAATCCTAGCACTTTGGGAGGCTGAAGCAGGCGGATCACTTGAGGTCAGGAGTTTCAGACCAGTCCGGCCAACATGGTAAAACCCTGTCTCTACTAAAAATACAAAAATTGGCCGGGTAGGGTAATGCATGCCTATAATCCCAGCTGCTACTTGGGAGGCTGAGGTGGGAGAATCACTTGAACTCAGGAGGCAGAGGTTGCAGTGAACTGAGTTCACGCCACTGCACTCCAGCCTGGGTGACAGAGGGAGACTCTGTCTCAATTAAAAAAAAAAATAGAGAATTGAAAAAGAATAGGAATAATTAAGGATATATTAAAATTATGGGCTTAAGTAACTGAATGAGGGTGGATGCTATTTACTAAGTCTATGATAACCAGAAAGAACCACACATCAAGGAAAATGTTTTTGTCCTGGACTTGTTCATTTTGAGATGTCTCATGGACATTGAAGTGGAGGTATAAAGTGGACAGTTGTGGTTATCAAGTTGAGTTCCAGGGAGATTTGGAAGTGATAGTTCATGGACAGTATAAAACCATGGTGAAGAATTACATCATTGAGCATGTGTGTGTGGTGGTGCAGGAAAGTCAGGCTTAGAGCGTAGTCCTGGGGACTTTAACGTTTGTAGGACAACCAGAGAAAGAAATGCTAACAAAGGAGAGCACAACAGTGATAAGTGAGGTAAGAGGAAAGAAAGTTTTGTAAATACTAATTATAATTCTAGAAAGTGGTCTGGATGGCCAGGTGCAGCGGCTCATGTCTGTAATCCCAGCACTTAGGAAGGCCTAGGCAAGTGGATCATGAGGTCTGGAGATTGAGACCGTCCTGGGCAACATGGTGAAACCCCGTCTCTACTAAAAATACAAAAATTAGCTGGGTTTGGTGGCATATGCCTATAATCTCAGCTACTCAGCAGGCTGAAGCAGGAGAATTACTTGAACCAAGGAGGTGGAAGTTGCAGTGAGCTGAGATTGTGCCACTGCACTCCAGCCTGGCAACAGAGCAAGACTCCATCTCAAAAGAAAAAAAAAGGAAGTGGACTAAGTATGGTGACTCATTCCTATAATCCCAGCACTTTGCAAGGCTGAAGTGGGTGAGTTATTTGAGGCCGAGTTTGAGACTGGCCTGGGCAACACAGCCAAACCCTGTCTCTCAAAATAATATTTTTTAAAAGAAAGTATTCAGATGTGTAGTTAGTCCATTCTCTCATTGCTATAAAGAACTACCTGAGACTGGGTAATTTATTTATTTATTTATTTTTCTTTATTTTATTTTTTTTAAAGATGGGGTTTCACCATGTTGGTCAGGCTGGTCTTGAACTCCCGACCTCAGGTGATCCACCCGCCTTGACCTCCAAAGTGCTTGGATTACAGGCGTGAGCCACCACACTGGACCCAAGATTGGGTAATTTATAAAGAAAAGAGGTTTAATTGTCTCAGTTCCACAGGCTGTACAGGAAGTATGGCTGGAGAAGCCTCAGGAAACTTACAACCATGGCAGAAGGCAAAGGGGAAACAGGCAAGTCTCACATGACCAGAAAATGAGGAAGAGAGAGTGAAGTGGGAGGAGCCACACACTTTCAAACAACCATCACTGGGGATTGTAATTCAACATGGGATTTGGACAGAGACACAAATCCAACCATATCATCAGGGGAGAGCTGGCAACTGTGCTGAAAGCTTCTGGGGACCTCATAAGCTGAGGACAAGAAAGTGATCACTGGGTGTAGTGATATGGGTGTAAGTGCTGATTGTGACAAGAGGCATCTCAGAAGAACCACAGAAAAAAAGCCTGGCCCAGGGAACATCACATTATCCATGTAATGGGAATTGAAGATGTAGACAGTCCTGGAACTATAGCTGAATGTGACAAGATAGATGGGACATTAAATAGAGAGGAAGGTGGAATTGAGGACGGGCCTGAAATGAATCTTTATAATTAAACAGGCACCTTGGTCTGGGCAAGGTGGCTCACCCCTATAATCCCAGCACTTTGGGAGGCCAGGGCAGGTGGATCACTTGAGCTCAGGAGTTTGAAACCAGCCTTGCCAACATGGTGAAACCCTGTTTCTACTAAAAATACAAAAATTAGCTGGGCATGGTGGTACGTGCCTGTAACCCAACTACTTGGGAGGCTGGGGCAGAAAAATCGCTTGAACTCATGAGGTGTAAAGGCTGTGGTGAGCCGAGATCAGGCCACTGCACTCAGCCTGGGTGACAGAGACTCCATCTCAAAAAATAAAAATGAAAAATAAATAAACAGACACCTTTTACAAATCACTCAGATTCTCTGGGTTTCACTCTTTCCATCTGTAAAGTAGGAGTAATGATAACAGATTATCTATTTTATTGTTGAGAATCAGATGAAGTAGAGATACAAATAATATCCTAATGTGGGTGTTAAGGCAATTTATCTATAGTAGTTAACTGAGGTAAGAGTAATGATAAGAATATGTCAATTACTGGAGTAGATGAATTAATGTTAGGTTGATGCAAAAGTAATTGCGGTTTTGCAAGTAAAACTAATCACAAAAATTATAATTACTTTTGCACCGACCTAATACTTCATTTAGTAGGAACTAAATGGAAGTAAAATTTTAATCTTACAACAAATTACATTTACATCTTTGTGTTTGCTTTTTTTTTTTTTTTGGACAGAATCTCACTGTGTCACCCAGGCTGGAGTGCAATGGTGCAATTTCAGCTCACTGCAGCCTCTGCCTCCCAGGGTCAAGCAGTTCTCCTGCCTCAGCCTCCCAGTAAGCTGGGATTACAGGCACCTGCCGCCATGCCCAACTAATTTTTTGTATTTTTAGTAGAGACGGGTGTCACCATGTTGGCCAGGCTGGTCTAGAACTCCTGACCTCAAGTGATCCACCTGCTTCATCTTCCCAAAGTGTTGGGGTTATAGGTGTGAGCTACTGCACCCAGCCTGTGTTTGCTCTTTGTATAACTATTCAGTTGCTCTTCATCTTATAATTACTAAAACCTCCAAATTCTCAGTGAATCCTTCCTGGAACCACTTAAATTGCAGTCCTCAACCACAATCCCCTGCACCCTAACTTTTCTGGTGTACAGCACAATTATACTCTGCTTGTCTGTTTTTTTATTGTGTTTGCATTAAGATATTTGCCTCCCTGTGCATTCTACCTAATTACAGCTATGAAATTTTCCTCAAATACGTAAATTCCATAATTATTTCAGAATTTACGTATGGGTACTCTCTCCCATA